CCCCTTCTCCTTTTGCCTTCCATCTTTCCCAGCATCAGGGTCTTTTCCAAAGAGTCCTCTCTTCGTGACCAAAGTATCTGAGCTTGAGCTTCATTATCAATCTTGGAATATATTTATTATTTATTCAGGACTACTTTTACATTGCATTTTTACTTAACTTTATCTTCTCTGTAAACCGCCCAGAGTCACTTTTTAATGAGATGGGTGGTGACAAAAAGAGCACCCCTCCAAGTGCTAACTAACCCATATTCTGAGATCAGCCAAGAGGGCCCTGTTTCTGTCAGTGTGATCCCTTGGCTCCAAATGCAATGCTGTTTCTCCAGTGGCGGACTCCTTCTGGACTCAGATAAACAGACACTATCTTGGAGATGTATCTTGTCCCCCCAAGCCTGCTGCTTCTCGGATGACATTATTATTCTTCGTTGTTACTGTTCATCCTATTTTTCTTGTCTTTCTTCTCAAAGCAGAAATTATTGTAAGATAACAATCATTTCTATTGGGCTGATGAGAAATGGGTAACCCATTCCGTAGCTTTTCTTGGCAAATGATCTGCCTTTGCCTTTTCCCAGGATGAAGTTTCGGGGGTTTGGGCTACAACTTTCATTTTAGCCTTTTTCATACGATTATAACTATATTGTATTACTGCTATCTTCTGTCAAATTCATTTACTTATTTTAGTGGGCTTCTGCGCCCCGCTAGCCCTTTGCTGACTCCAAGCCACCTAGATTCCTATTTTCTCTAAACAGGGTTAGAACAAAAAGGAATAAATAATTATGATTCAAAAAATTATAAAGGCCCCTTTAGGGCAGTGGCACAATTAAAATACCTTCTCTGTGCACAAGGAAACATTAGAACTTAATTAGACCAACACTCCCACTACAAGGAGGGACCGAACTCATATCGCCAAGGCCTGTAGGACCAGCCAAATTATAAGGGTCTTCTAAATCCTAACAGGTTGGGGCCAACCATATCTCAGAGGGAACGTCCAGAATCTTTATAGAAAGGTGGGACGGGTGGCCTGTGTGCTGGCGGCCTGCCAGTCCCTTCCACTTTATGACGCTTCTTTCTCATTGCAGAATTCGTTACTCTGTTTTACGCTCAGCGGAATCTTTAAGGAAGGTGGGTGTGTGGTCGAAAGGCCACATCCTGAGTGCAGGGAGGCTGGGCCTCAGCATGCGGTGCTCCTTCTTGAAACCTCCGCCCTGTTTCTTTTCGCTCTCCAGTGGACAGCAGGTGTCGAGACGTGGTACGAGCCTTCACGCGTGTATTCATTGCTGTTCCTGTGGGTCACAGCGGGTAAGGGAGAACGCTTCGGAGCATTGGCAGATCTGTGCAAAGGCAGACAGGCAGGGTAATCAGGTGCCGCCCTGGGCTTGAGAACCAGACTGCTGCAGTGGTGGGGGATTGAATTAGGACTGGGGAGGGCCCAGTTCAAACCCACCCTTAGCCCTGGAAACCCTTGAGTTGGTCGCTGTCCCTCTCAGCCCCACTTGAAGGAATTGTGTCAGCTCCCGAAGGCAGAACGTCTCCAAGACAGGGCTCTTGGCGTTCGCGGACCGTGTTTACGAGCCCAGCAGTCTCCCCCTTCAGTGAGGTTGTCTTCACAGTGTCCTGCCTGTTTCTTTGTTTTGTTCACCCAAAAGATGTAAAGAGTCATGGCAAGAGGAAAAAGGGAGCACGAGATCCATCTGTAGCTTTTTGGAATCCCTCTCTGGGGGCATAGGGTTAGCACCTGGCACGACTGGGTGAGAGCCAGCATGGTGTAATAGTTAAGCGATTGGACTAAGACTCGGAGACCCCGAGTGCACCCCCCCAATCATTAACGTTCCCAAGTGCCTGTGAGCCACTAGCTTTCCCTCAGCCCAGCCTACCTCACAGGGTTGTTGCAGGGATAAAACAGAGATCCCCAAGGAAGCCACCAAGGAAGGCTCTTGGAAGAAAAGAGGGATAAAGAAGCTTTCAGCACGGAAGAGTGTCAAACTCCCCCCCTCCCCAAACTGCTTACTGTGCAATACTGGTTTAGCCTCAGCCAGCAGCTTTTCCTTTCTCCCCGGCAGGCTGAGCATTGTGAACGACCAGCTGTTCATCCGAAAGGCCAACAACACAGAAATCCGGAAAGCTTTCATCATGCCGGCGCCCACGCCCTCCTCCAGCCCCGTGCCCACCCTTACGGCCGAGCAGCAGGAGATGTTGCAGAACTTTTCCCTGCAGTCGGGCATGAACCTCGAGTGGTCTCAGAAGTGAGTCCCGGCGGGGAAGAGGGGAGTCAGAGATGGGGGCCGGCCAAGGCAGGGGAGCCTCCCGGAGCTTACGGATCCCACTTCTCTCCCCCCAGGTGCCTCTTGGACAACGATTGGAACTACGCGAAAGCAGCCCATGCATACACCCAGCTCAAGGTGAGGGCCCTGCCTGCCCTAGGAAGCGTAAACTTCTTCCTGTTTGCCCTCAGCTGGAGCAGGCCAGATGGAATTCTGGGCCTTGTAGTCAAGCCTCCACGGAGGCGTCCAGCAGAGATGGATTGGGGCTGCACCCTAGCCTGGTGGTCCCGTTCCAGCCTCTCCGGCTGGAATCAGTGGCCGAAGAGCATCTGCGCCGACAGCTGCTGGCCTGCCACCCTTGAGGACTGGAAACAGGACATGCCTTCAAGCAGAAGATGTTGTAGGGATGAGCCTTGCTCCAGTGCTATTCTTGTTGATCAGAGATCCCGGGGGGGGGTCTCCTTCCTTCCAAGCTTGGTCAGGCAAAAGTCTTTCCTCTTCAGGAAACTGGGGTGTGTGTGTGCGGACTTTCCTTTAGAGCAGTGTTTCTCAACCTTGGCCACTTGAAGATGAGTGGCCTTCAACTCCCAGAGGCTGGGAGTTGAACACCCATGACTGGCTGGGGAATTCTGGGAGTTGAAGTCCACCCATCTTCAAGCGGCTGAGGTTGAGAAACACTCCTTTAGAGTTTCAAGACAGGTTGCTAAAGCACCAGCTACATTGCCTGATTTTTGCTCTCTCCTGCAAAGTCATCTTTAGTTCATAAGAAGAGACTGTGGTGTAGTCAGGAAGGACAGAGGATGCAGGGCGTTTGCCGCCCCACCCTTGCATCCAAGTTCAAAAAATAAATTGGCAGTTGTTAGAAAGTACTGTACTCCAGGACATCCCGAAAGAGACACATTGAGGAAGTTTGCCGACGACCCAGAGGCAAAAAAGGCGGCCGATGTTGGTTTCTCACTCTTCTTTCCTGCTTCTCCCAGGCTGAGCAGAAGATACCAGAAGTGGCATTCCTCCACTGAACAACAGCTGCGTTGCCCTGACCAAAACCAATCCAGCAACCTTTTTATCGATGAGATGCCTGTTTTTGTAAATAAAATTTCACCGTGTAAATTAAGAGACTCCTGCCCTGTCACGATCAGGAACGCCGCGGCCCTGCCTCTCACCGTTGGGGCGGAGGCCGAAGCCGTGGCAAACGCTGTAGAAGAGGCAGCCCGTTCCCAGCGACATTGGTCGTTGGAAGAGATGCCAAGATGGGCTGGTGGCTTAGAGGACGAAGGTGACCCCGTGTGAAGATCCGGAGGCCAAAGAAGGCGAAAGACTCATCCTTGTTTCCTTTCCTCCACCCCTTTTCGTTTGGAAACCTAGTTTTTTTTTTTGCATATTCTCACCTGATGCTTTTTTTTCCCCGGTAGCAACTATCTCAGGAGTCACATTCTGTACGTGCCGAGACTGAGGGGGGGGTCAGCGCTTCCAAACACAGAGTTTACGGCTGTTGCGACAACTCTAAACTTCCCAGCCGAGGAAAGGGAGCACCCCAGATGCTTGATGGCACCCTTGTTTCTTTCCAGCTGTTGGCCCGGAGGTCAAGCATCTTTCTGATTTGATCTCTAAAACGTTGGCCCCGCAGAGCCTCGTTCTTTTCTCAGTGTTCATTGTTTTCGTTTAAGTGAGAAGCAGCTTGGGACTCTTCTGTTCAGCAAGCCGTAGCTTCTGTGTTTTCTTTCTGGTTCTCAGAGACACTACGCCTAGTAAAGTTATTATTAAAAGGTTGGCCTTCGTGTGTGAGGTGGTGTTCTCCGGCACCCAGGGGGCCGAATCTCTTTTCCGTGGATTTTGACCCTGCCCGACTCGGCCCTCCAAAACGAATTCCAGATCAAGACGTTTATGAATGACGTAAATATTGTAACCCTAGCTTTTCCTTCAGTCTTAATCAAGCAGGATAGATTGTCACATGCAAAGGTATCTGTTTACTCAGATTTAGAGGGTGCCTGACCTGGTTTACTGTTCCAAAAAGCAAGAACAGTCACCTAGAGGAAAAAGAAATCATACGCGTCTGGAAAAAACATGCAATGCACAGGGAAAGAAAAACCTGGCCTGGGTGGATATGGGATAATAAAGGTGTGTTAAAAGAAAAAAAAAAAGTCCTGTAAAATGTGTTTGCTGCACAAAGGACCACAGCAGTCAAGCCTAACCAGATGTAATGTGGGTGTTTGTGGTTGCAGCTTATCCCCCAAGCTCTGTGATCTTCAAAAACACCTGGTTTTTGAACTAACAACACATCAGCTCTAAATGTTGGTTGCTTTCATGCCTGGCGTGTCGGGTCAACTTGCTCAGCTACGGCTTAGTCAACTACGATGAAAGGAGAGACCAGGTGTGAACCACCAGGTGTGAACCGCCAGG